ACCAAGATGGCTGCGCCCAGAGGTGATCGTCCTTCTCTTGTTCCTGTCAACCTCATGGAAAAGATTTGTTTCAAATACATACCTATGGCAGGCGGAGCAAGTTATGGTGCTATGTGCATTAATATGATGCAACCAAGTGTTTTTAAAAGGTAATTAGTCCTGTAAATTCTGCAAATTTTGGTTTAACCTTAACCTGGATTCTTGAAGTCTGAAGATCCGATCTCGAGTTAAATTACTGCCTCAGACTCTGTACTACTCTTTGTTATTTTATAAATTCTGAGCGAAAATATTAAAAAGAAAGTGCAAAAAGGAATCCCCGGAGGCTGATTATTATGACAACAGTGCTCCGTCGCCACTAAGATCAGTTGATAAATTACTTGCACTGTAAGTTGTAACAGAAACCAAGAAGTTGGTTCACTGTGGGAACTCGAGTTCCAAGGATCCTTGCAGTGACGTTATGAACAGTATCTACTAGTAAAATAAGAGTGTTTCTTGTAAGATTTATAGTGTATATTTCAAATTTATTGTTATTGTGAACTCTGACAAGGAAGTAATGCTTTGCTGACAAGCAGCATTATGCGAAAAGTCAGGGGTGGATTTTGATGAAATTAAAGGGGAATACAAGTCTCTGAATGGAATTAAAGCGTATTATTCCATCGTTTATAAGCATAAATTACGTTGTGCCTTTATCGTCCAAATGCCCGACTGTCAGCAAATCGGGTAATACTATAGAAAACCTACGTTTGCAAATAAACGCTGAAATAAGCCTTACAGTATTGTATTTCAATTTTTTAATACAGTTAGTTTTCCTGGTTTTAGCTGTGTCCATGATATGCATAGCTACTTTTAAATAATCGTTTAAAAATAGTCCAAGCGCTACTAGGAAGATATGTTTTACATAATCAGAATGCACGAAAGTCCAGGATAATGTGTTCCATTTTTTGTATCTTTAAGTGCTTTATTTGTGAGGTAAACATGTTATACCCGTGCAAAGGCATTATACAACACATTGTAATCAGTGTTTGCCTCTTAGGAAAATAAGTTGCTGGACCGAAAGCTCAGCCATCTTGGAAATTAGCTGGCTAGAATGCCTGCCGGGTGGGAAAACTTCTCTGCCCGTTCTGAAAGTTGTCTGCCCCGGGCAGACGGTCCAGCCTTAATTCTAACACTGATTGTAATGCATAGGCCAATGTCAGAGAGTTCAGGCAATGACATCATAATTACCCCCCAAAATTAAGCTTACGCTTACAGTGGGTAAAACGTGATGGGCAGATCTAGAGAGAAGAGGAGGGTCGTATTTTATTGAATTTAGGTCCCCAGAGACTTGTATTCCCCTTTAAAGCTAGGATAGGTCACAATTAGACAGTGGGAAAAAATGACTAGATTTGAGGGGAGGGGTGATACAGCTTACCATGTACAAGTAGTGATATTTACTTCTTTGGTCTATGGTACACCTCATCGTTGTATTTACAAGCTGGGATCTCGGCTCGAAAGCATCACAAAGTGCAACCACACAAACGTGGCTATCTGTCGCTATTGCCTAACTTGAAGGGATCGCAATTTGCGACTGAGCATAAGTAGCAATATCACTGCTTGTTTGGAGGTTATTATTTGTGACGAGTAAATCCCCTCACATTTGCCTTTGCCCAAACATAATTTGTCATTTTTATGGTGCTTTAAATGTAAATTTAATAGCATATAACAAAGCATGGAAGCTTATAAAAGATAGAGGCACTTGGTACCTCTGATACAAAAAAAAAACTTGCAAAAAATTTTCACATGAAAGATTATTTGTATGTAGAATATTATTTCATCAGAGACCAAAAATTTAATAAATTCATGTTTTGTTATGCATAAAAATTTTCAAATAAACATTTTATATACTATTTGATATTTTCTGATAAAAATACATCTGTGTAATATATTCATATTTATCATAAGTTTAAACATTTCATTTTCTATACAGAGCACTCAGTCACACCATAACCTTTCTCTGTGTGTGTAATTATGATAATGAAGACTACTCACCTATGTATCAGTAATTATATCAGTCCCTAATAACATTTGTGCTTATGGAATTGATTTAGACATTTTATTGGTGTCAAACATTTCAAATATCAATTCAGAATTGTGATATTTCTATAAATTAAAAAGGAAACTTATAAACTTTAAATTGACCTTACATCTTACACTAATTGGAGGTGTGTGCCCTCTCTGAATGCTTTTCCAGTTTATTATTATTATTACCTCCGCCAAGGAGGTTGTTTTCACCCCTGTTTGTCTGTCTGTCTGTCTGTCTGTCATCAACATACCGTAACTCAAAAAGTTATGGACCGATTTTGATGAAATTTTCAGGAACTGTCAGAAGTGGGCCAAGGAACAGATGATTAGTTTTTGGTGGTGATCTGGATCAGTAATCAATCAATAATCAATAATCAAAAATATCAAAAATTTAGGGGTGAAACAGCATTGGGTGGAGACATTGCTGCCTGGGGAGGTCTGCGCTCTCGGAGTGCTTTTCTAGTTATTATTGAGTTTGAATGGTAAGGTCTCTGTTGGCATGTTCACACACACACACACACACACACACACACAGATACACAAACACATATGCATATCATTATATCAATAATTAATTTTGTAGAACCATTTATTTTACCTTTTAGAATAATGAAGCTTATGTAGGTTCTGCTGAGAACTTTAGTGCCAGTGCTGCATCCTGATCCTGACATTCTTTAACATATTTATCAGAGACATTCCAAACATCTCCAATACAGAGAAATATAGTCCTTTATATCTGAATAACGAATGGAATATAAACTATTGAACTGTGTATTGAAGTCTTTTCTATAACATGGTAGTTGTCTCTGATGGAGCTCGTTCTCAACAATTGGTTTACATAGATTGTTCCAATCTGCAAGGACTCTTGCAGAATATAATCAGATTACTAGTAATAGATTAACATGTCTTATGCACTAGTTAGATATTTGGTTTCTTTGGGAATGAACCCATAGTGAAACTCATCTGCAGCATGCACAGCTGCACTGGACGTGCTATGTTCTTATTGTAGGACCTGGAAACTTCTGGTAAACATACAAAAGACCAAAGTCATGATTTTTTTTTTATAAGACAGGGCATACTCTGAAAACGTATTGAATAATGCATTTTTACAGCTGCTTGGGCTTTATTTTAATTCTCTCAGGAAACACCACAAAAGTAATCAGAAACCATCTACTCTAAGTAATTGCCCAGTTAAGACCACTATAAGAATTTTCACTTCTCTGGCGACCTCAGTTTGATCTGGATTACAACTAATGCCTTAATCTGTTAAGTTATCCAATCTCTCTTCTTTCAGCATTTATGGTTCCTGGGAGGTCGCAGCAACTCATGGGTGCTGGTTAAAAGCTCACATTGGTGTTGGTCTCTACCTGTACAGCAGGAATGTGATGAAGCAGGCAGACATGTACCACAGGATAGCCTACTCTGTGTTTGGCTCCGTCATCTTCAACTTTGGTTCTGTGTTGCTTTGGGGATATAGCAAGCTCATTTTGCCTGACAACACTGCTGTCAGGGTATTATTTGGACTGAGCACAGCAGTTGCTTTGGTGGCTGTTGGAATGGATTACATCAAATTTGTGGATTCCAAAGTTGGAAATAAACTGGAGTGATTTTAGTAGAAAATTAATCTACCCAGAAGAAAAACACCAGGAAATGAAATGATTGTTAATTTTTTTTTGTACTGACTTTGAAGTGTAAGCATGAAGTTCAGCTTTGTTATGTAGGTTGTTTAGTCATGTGTCTAGTTGTGTGAAAAGCATCAATTCTTTAGCATTGGAAGGATAGGTTTTCTTGCATTTGACTGTTGAGCAACCTGTGTAATGGATTTGAAAAAGAAGGCTCGTGTGATAATGGACATTTGAAAAAGACTATAAGGATAACTTACTTGGAATTTAATATCTGCATGGCTTTTGTGTTAAGTACAAACATCACAATTTTTTATCCTTTTTCTATCCTACATTGTTGGGAACATGAACATGGAATATCAAGAAATGTATTAATTGAAATTTCCTTTTAGTGAACTAAGCACTAATAAAACTATTATGTTTTTATTGCAGTACCAAATTAATTGTGTTATTTACTTGTTTCATTGAAAAATTTCAACCTTAAATGCGTAACTGCATAAAATGGTAAAAGGATCTCCAATTTCTTGTATTCAAACACTATCCAAGGAGATATTGCTGTAAAAGTTTTCTCTCTTTTTTCACAATGACCTTTATGGAAGTATGAAAACACTAAAACTGATAATGATATATATACTTTATTCAGTACTCTCCCTTTTCTCTTTTAATTTCACCATGATTTATTTTTATAACTAATTCTTTAAAATGTATATAAACTGAACAAAAGTTATTCATGAAAAAATGCACAGGCAATGATTATTGAGACGGCTTCAATTAAAAATGTTAAATACCCTTTATATGATATTTCTTCAATAGTAAAAAAGAAGCAATTTTAAGAACATAAAATAACAATTACATAGATTAAAAAATAATGCAATAAACATATTTTATCAAATTCAAGGCGAATGTTTCATTCCCAATATATGTATGTATGTATGTATAACTGCTGGTAATATACATATCTTTTTTATGCCCTCCAAATGAGGATCATTTGCTTTTATGTATTTTAAAAAAATATCTAGATCCAAGCTTTCACATTTGAAAATATGTTTATGCCGTCGAATATATATATATTTAAAAAAAAACTGAAATATGTTAAAAGTGCTGAAATATTTTGGTGAACTGATTGCGGTAGTGGTGCAGCTGGTCATGCACTACAAAAACATTTGGTAACCGGAAGTTGTTATTTTGTTACCTTGGCGTTGATTAGTTGATTATAAATTGTTTTATGAAATATGATTGGTAGATTCGAACCAAGCGGTAAGTCCGAGCACGAAGAAAGGAGAAGAGGTGAGTGTGGCATTTAAACGTTGATTTTTTTTGTTGAAATGTTTCATGGTATTGAGGCGATATTTTGTAAATAGTAAATTAAACAAGACTAGGCGTTAACAAATCTATTGATTTCGGAATTTGGTGTTGATTCCCAGATCTTCCCTATCGGCTGAACTTAAAATTTGTTTGAAGATTGATGTGCACGAAAGTTCAAAACTTGATGAAGTAGATCTACAGTGCATAAAAACAGTAGTTAGTTGAACGTTGAGTTCAAAACAGCCTCAGAAGAGACTAACGGTGGTAGCATTTTTATTTATTCATTTTCAATTTATACTTGATAACTCATTTATGTATATATTTCAACAGCCACGTTCTTGGAATTAACAATGAAGCTTTTTCCCGTTTTGGTTATTTTATTAGTAATAAATTCAAATACTTCCACCTTTAACTTTCACATTTTCACATTTTGTTTTCATTAAATGTATAGTCTATTGCGTTATATTTTCTTATAATATTACTATGTGATTGTCAATTTTTGCTAGGCGACGTTTATCCTAGTGACGCCCTTCACCATCACATTCACATCGTTTTTATTATGTACAGACACAGATGTGTCTGTACATATTGCCATCACCTGCGTCTGTCGTCGCCGTCGCCGGCGCCGTGCACTTTCCTTGTAAACACGATAAGTGGAACACAGTTTTACTTTTTGGCTTTATATTTACAGAGCTGATGAATATTCATGAAACGCAGGTCAAGTTCGAAAATCAGCATAATCGGGCCATTATTGTAGAAGTTATGCTGTTTTTTCACTTTTCAGCATATATGCAACACTGTAAACACATTTAAAGGAAAACCAATAGTCCTGTTGTCATGAAACTTACAGAAGTACTCAATTTTACTAAAATGCAGGTCAAGTTCGAAAATCGGCATGATCGGGCCACTATTTTAGTACTTATGCAGTTTTTTCATTTTTCAGCATATATGCAACACTGTAAACACAATATAAGAAAAACAGATAGACCAATTGTCATTAAACTCACAGTAGTGGTCAATCTTACTAAAACGCGGGTTGAGTTCAAAAATCAGCATAATCGGGCCATTATTTTAGAAGTTATGCTGTTTTTTCAAATTTCCTCAGATTCAATTCTTAGGCATGTTAACAGTCTCATTATAATAAGATACGTAAAAGTGTTTGTTTGACATATCCTACATCTTTACAACATTGTTAGTTAATTTTGTAAAAATGATGGTAAACTTGTTAACGTGTATTGTGTAATAAAGTTTCAAAAATGGAAATAAACTCATATCATTTCAGTTTGTCAGATTGAATCATTCACTATGTTCAGAATCT